GCGCCGCAGCACGTCCGCGATCGCAGCGTCGCACGCGGCCTTGTCGATGCCGGCGGCGGCGGCGTGCTGCTGCACGAGCGCGCGCAGCGCGGCCGGGTTGGCGCCCTGGAGAGCGCCGACCTGCACGGGGTGCACACGTACATCGGCGCCGCGGAGAGGAGCGGGTACACAGGGCACATCCAGCATTTCCGGGGGTGCAGTGGCGCACCTCGCGCGCGCCGCGGAACACCTTGAAGGTCGGCATCGCCCGGACACCGCACTCGGCCGCGGTCTCTTGGTTCGCGTCCACATCCACCTTGCAAAAGATGGCCGCCGGGAACTCGCCCGCGAGCTGCTCGAAGGTTGGAGCGATTGCCCGGCAAGGACCGCACCACGACGCAGTGAAGTCGACGATAACCGGCGTGTCGCCAGCCTCGGCGAGGAGAGAGCGGAACGCCTCGAGCGTGCTTGGCTGCCGCATACAATACCCAAGCCGACCTGCCGCCGCCGATGTCGAGAAAAAGAATTCGAGCTCGTGCCCCTCGAGAAAAAGAAGGAGCGGACCGTGATCCCGGCCTCGGGGCGGGGTGCGCGCTGTTGTGCCTCTGGTGCTCGTGCATCGCCCACTCTATCTATTTACATATTGGGGGCCTCCAACACAACTCAAGCAAGTGCCGACCTAACACCCGGCCGAATAATCCGCCGCCGGCCTGCCCCAGAACGTGTGATAAATTGGAAGAGTTTTCGCGCGGCAATAAACCTACAACAATTAAGTAAAAGTACGTTTAAAAACACGTCTTGTCCTTTCGCCTGCGGAAACGACCACTGACCCCTAGATGTCACCCCGGAAGCTCCGACGAGTTGCCACCTCAGTGCAGCTCGGACCTGCGCACCTGCGCATCTTCGCTATGCCGGAGACCCCCAAGGGCAAGGCTGCGGAGACGGACTGGGTGCCCACCCCCCTCCACGAGCGTCCCCCCCCCCGCCCGCCCTACGCGCCCGAATCGCCCAGGACTGCTGCGCAAGTTGCGGGCCGCTAGGAGAGGGATATTGCGGGGGGCCCTCGGGCGCCTCAGCCCGGCCCTGGGGGGGGGGGGGGGTCGGAGCTAGGGGTTGAGGGGAGGTCGGGGCCGGGGAGGGGTGCCGGGGTGCCGGGTCTCGGTTCATGGTTTCGACTTTCGGGGGGCACTAGCCTATCGGAGGCGTGCCAAACATTTTTCCCCCCAGCGGCTTTGCACGGCGATCGAGGATGGCGCGGTTCACCCCCTTCACCGAAGCGATGGAGATGCTCTCTCTCCTCTCTCTCTCTCTCTCTCTCTCAGTGTATGTGGCTCTTACGTACATTCCCGTAAGGAGGACTCTGCTGACAGGGTTTGCGATGAGAAGCGACCCGATGGGATTTTTGAAGATTTTCACAAATTTGTTCCTCGCCCAAAAACCAATCCTTGCGGCATGGTGCCGTGCCCGAAGGGATGACGCACCAGGACTACGCCTTGTCATCCGCTCGTTTATGCATCGCACGCGCTCGTGGCTCGTCCCCCATCGCCTGCGCCCATGCGCCGCAGCCCAAGCAGCCTCGTCTCGGTCGGCACAAACATGCCTTCGAGGGCTGTAGCTAGCTCGCCTCCATCGCCCTACCCGCCAATAGGGCTTATGGAGTCGGAGAATCTCTCGGAGAATCTCGGAGAATCCCTCTCGGAGGATTTGGGAGTGCCGCCGCCCGCCGTCGCCCCGACGCGCAGTTAGCTGCATCTGCCCCCGTGTCGGCGTGCAAAAGCATGCCCGGCGTCAAGCATGCCCTCTCACAAGATGGAAACGCCGCAGCCGGCACCGCAGAGCTCACGGCATTAGCGATACTGCCTTCAACGGCATTAGCGATACTGCCTTCCATGATCGAGCGCAGTGAGACGCAAGTTCAGGCTGCTGAACACGCGGGCACTCCGCGTTCTAATGCCAAGCGCGCGCGGAAAATCAACACTCGGCTCGCGAATCGGCATGAGGCGCACACTATGTCCATGTCCATGTCCATGTCCATGTCCATGTCCATGTCCATGTCCATGTCCATGTTGTACAACAATGAGAGCGAGCGCGCAACAGTCCAACACATGTGCATGCACATGATACATGATGTGCATGTGCATATGTCCACGTCCACGCCCATGTCCAGTCCAGTCCTGACCTATCCTATCCTACTCGGCCTCCAGCAAGACCCACACGGCTCGGAACGACCCCCACGGCTAAGAACCTGAGGCTCGGCCCAGGACGGAGCACCAACTTAGCTAAGAACCTGAGGCTGGGCTAAGAACCCGTGCGTTCTTAATGCCCGTCCGGAACTGTATGGAGGTACGCTCGGCGGCCCAAAGGGGTGGGGGTAGTATGGTCCTGACCGCCCAAGACTAGCCCTCCCATACCCCCAAGCAGGTCTGCCAGCAGGCGGGGGGGTATGGTCTTGAGCAGTTGAGCTGGGTTGGCCGACGTACCATACCATACACACCCCGATCCTGGGGAACTAGCCGGGGCAGTCGGAGAAGGGGCAACTCCGTGCACTGACGGTCGGCCGCCAGAAAACACGCCTGCGTGGATCGCGTCACACCAATCCTCGCTACCCAACGCGGCCAAAGGATAGGTAGGTAGGGGGAAAAGGGAGATCCCCCCTCGCAACGAAAACCCTTCCCCCCTAAAAGGTTGGGAACCCCCCAGCCAATTTGGCCTTCCGTCCCAGCGTGTCCACCCGCTACTAGGCCCCCTTCCTCCGAATGATCCCCTTTCGACGACCTTTTAAAAGGTCCC